CAGCATACACAAAAACTCCTCAACGACTTTTGGCGACGGTGGCAAGACGAATACCTGTCGAAATTACAGCAGCGAAACAAGTGGCTTAAAAGAGAGGGAGGAGTTCCAGATTGGTGATGTTGTTTTGATTAAAACAGATAACTTACCACCGGGAAAATGGTCCCTGGGACGAATCGTCGGCAAACATCCCGGCTCAGACAATATAACCCGGGTTTATAGTGTAAAAAGTGGCAGCTTGATAACAAAGAGAACTATAACTAAATTATGTGCTTTACCCATAAATTGTAAATAAATTATAAATTTAACAAAAAGCTTTATAAAAAATTTAACTTTAGAAAATGTTCACAGTTTAAGTAGTCTAACTGATCATAATGTTGTTTACGCTTCAAACATATTGAATAGTGTCGCCTACCTGCAATTTGTTTTTTAAAATCTAACTTTAGTTTTACATACACTTCGCTTACCTTCATATTATTTTGTATAATTGTTTATTTAAATCATTGTCTTATAACATACTTTATGTATATTGAGGTTTAAATCATTACGTTTGTAATTAATACTTAGTACATAATGTATTTTTGTGATGTTTATACAAATTTAAAGTGTTGGAAAAGGACTTAAGGTCCTTTTGGTGGGCGGTATGTTGACGCTAAAATAATTTTTTTTTGTCGTGTAGTTAACTATCATATTGGTGTGTACTTGAGTGAGTCAGTCGCGCAATAAACTAGCAAGCTGCAACACGTCTTTTTTATTCAAATAATCCCGTGCACTACATACAGTCCATTTTCAACTCTAATACACCAACAATGCATAAAAGAAACTTACCAACGATGTGGGTTTTTTTATATAAAATATAAAGGCCAAGAAGCCATATACAAGTAGGATGTAAAAGGATGTGGCCTAGGATGCCACATACTCCTTTCCTACATTCTCGAACTATGCAGAGGCGCTGCCGCCAGGCGGCGGCCGCCTCAGAGCTCCAATAAGAATTTATTTATTCCATTTGCTAAGGATCCATTCAACTAAATTGCATTGTTCACGATAGATATCGCTATACGATCCACTATGGATTGTCAATATAAGGCACTCGAATCTTAAGGGTACGAGGCGTCGAAAAAAAGTGTTACAGCCAATGTTAAGGTTGAATAAAACAGATAGTAAAAAATGGGATTAGCCCGTAATATTAGCTTTTGTACGGTAGGTAGCACGCATCATGACTTGACATTGTATATTATATACACTGTATTTGAAAGTGACATTGATTGACAGTAAAAAAGTGTTGCCCGCCTTCGTGCAAAACTAAATTCAGTAGATTTATTTTCTAGGCTTACTTCCGATTAAAAATATGTATACACTTAAGTTCGCACGTAAGAAGTTTAGTGTAACTAAAGAAATATAATTATACATTTTATCTAGGGGATAAAATTTCTGGTACTCTTTTTTTGTGAAAAAGATAATAAATGCAATTCATAACGGTATAATTAAATAACTTGGTGGTATAGTTAAATGTTAATGAGTTAATACTGATTGCCAGGGTAATATCGTGATGTTGGTCGCTTTGCAATAAACTTCATTATGTCGCTGCTAGTGTTCGCGCGCAGTGTAAAAATTTTACTAAAAGAAGTAAAGTTTCATGGTTATTTTTTATAAAAAAAAGTGTGTGTGTGTACTTATTTACGCACGTCAGAAGTTATACTTCTTTAGCGTAACAAAATAAAAAGTCTTTGTTTGTGAAAAATATATTAAATGCAATTGATAATTGTTATACCTTGGAATTACAGCTAACTGTCAAAAAATTGTTATTGGTTGTCATGTTAATACTGTGAAGTATGGTAAAAATTTTATATAATAATTACTTTGTAATAATCAGCAAAGCAAGTATATCAAATTATATTATATTATGTCACAACTAATAAGTAACTCTGTCTGTGAGGGAGGCCTATGTTCAGCAGTGGACTCAAACAGGCTGAAACGACGATGATGATGATATCACAAGTACAAACTTTTACTTTTTGGTGTTTGGTGTACGCGCGCAATTTAATAATTTTACTCTCGTTACTTTTTCCAAACGCGATAAAAGAAGTATAAATTCATAAACATTCGATATTATTAAGTCTGGTTAAGATCATATTTCTTCTATGATTACAAAGTTAATTGAAACTTTTCCTGTGGTAAAAAAATTTGTTAAACCCTCTAAGTTTTCCAACAAGCTATTTTTGCTGGATGAATGATTTTAAGACATCAAACATAATTTTTATAGTATTCTGTAAAATTTTATGTTTATGATGTGGTGATAGAAGGTGATACAGTTTAATGTTTTAACAGAAGAAAAAAAAAAGCTAGCCAACACTGTCATAAATATTACTGAGATAACAGCTAAGCTAGTCTACTCAAGTACTCGCTTCGCAGTTCATATCAGCTCTCAGCTAACTGGCAACTCTATTGCAGACTGCCGCGCGTGCTACTCGTATCGCAGTACGGAATCAATTTTGATTGTTCGTTCTAAATTTCAGATGACTGAGTGACAAAAATAGTGTAGTGAAAATGACACTGGTAATTTGGTGAATAACATAAGTCCATTATAAATTTGACCGTTTCTGTGTTTATTTTTGTGCTAAGTGTCAGTATTAAGTGAGTATTATGAACTTTGAGGACTATGAAACCCTTCCGACCCAGAACTCTATCACACATATGACAGCCGGAGCAATTGCGGGGGTGATGGAGCATTGCATAATGTACCCGCTGGACTCCGTCAAGGTAAGCTGCACCTGGGATGCCGCTTCTGTAAATCTTCTACATATTTCAAGTCCTAACCTAGACGGCCTCCTCGCCTCACTGGTTCGCGCGGTAGTTGCGCCACAGATTTCTTTAAGGGTTATGTAAAGATACATTTATCGAAACTATAGACCGTTCGCTCCCAGACCCAAAATGGTTTCTTTGACGTCATCTGTCGTAAAAAACGTTCGACTATCTTTTGCGACCTGACAGCAGTATGCTTTTTATGAACTTTTTGCTTTCACTTTTTGCACAAACAAAAAAATATTCATAAATTCGTTATACCATTAACTACTTTACTACTTAGTAAGAGAGTACATACTGCTTAAAATATTTTAAAACTAACTTAAATGAAATTTTTGATATTTTTTTACATGTTAGGTTTAGTTTGTTTACAAGTGGTTTGAGTCACTTTCTACAGGTCCCTCTCCATTCCAGGTCTTTACTTTCTGATAGGGATATAAAAACATGGAATGCTGAATAAGTTCTTGCACATTTAAACTAGCTGGATTTCCTTTATATTTTTCTTCAAAAACACAATGGACAAGTATTGTTCCTGTTTATTGATATAACTTCACGGTGCTAAATTTTAATACTTATGAATATTATGAATTTTTCTACATATTATAAAATTGGCAATTCTTTAAATTAAAGTACTACAATGTAATTAACATTTCTTATAATTTTTGAGATGATGTTGAATTTAAGTGTTTGCATTGCTTTATTGTGTTTGCAAGACCATGTTCATAAAATTTAATACAGTGCAAAACACTGTATTAAATTTAATTAAATATGTATTTACCTACATAATATTCATTTAAACTCTAAATACATATATAATGATTGATAGATTGTTATAAGAATGATAGACTTATTGGGATATTATTACTATTAGTAATTGATAAATTTATAACATATGAAGCCTCAACTTATATATTATTCCTTTTAAAGAAAACAATTTTTGAACAATGATTTAGATAAAAATATTTTTGATTGAATGATGTTTCATTAAAATAGAAATGTTCCTTTATCAAGTAAAAAATTAACACCTGGTTTCTGAAACGCTGATCACACTAGAAGTTAATTAATCAGCTGTCAAATAGCTTTATTTTTTAAAGGTTATATATACTCTCTGAATTGATCAGAGTGATCTTCTTAATGATCTATTCAAAGAGTTTAACCATACTTTTGGAAACCAAATAACATTTGAGAAGCCATTTAACAGCTGATTACTTAGCTTCTACGATGATCAGTGTTTACAGAAACCCACCTTAAGTGTTGGTTAACACATAAATGTGAACATAGAAATATTGCAATATTTTATTGTGGGCTTCAAGTACAAGACTTGTTCAAAATATTTACTGTAAAGTTAAGATTAACAATTAAACAATTTTATTATTAATAATTAGTTAACAAATACCATATTAATAATAATTATTTAATATATCCGTCTGGTTGGGTCCTATTATTTAATAAAGCCAATATAAAGTTTGTGTCATTACTAAATATAATTTGATAGAATATTAGTTTTTACATAACTAAGAATTAAAGTAAATTTTTGTGGATGGTTTACGGCTATGAGACATTTAGTTTAAGAAAAGAAATTTGGGATTTGACACATTATAAAATGACAATGTTTTAATAAAGTAATCAAACATCATTGTATTTATGTGAATAGTTGACACTGTTAAATAAAATTGTTGTATGGATTTCAAAATTAAGTTTTGTGAAAAAAACATGAAATAGTTTCATTTAACACATCAATAAGTACGTAGGCATAATAATGCCATGTGCACATTAGTTAATTTCTTCTTGCTCGGTCCCTCAATCCTGAGGATCGTGACCACATGACATTCTCCTCAATAGATAATTGACAAGGATGAAAAGGAAAGCCATTCTTTTACTGCAGTGATTAATTATTTCTTACAAAAGAGTATACGAGTTCATTGTTCAGTAAAAATGTACTTGTACATAGTTTATGCGGATCTTTATTATACAGAAGTTTTTAACGAAAGAATGTAACAAAAAAATCAGTAAATTTAACAGTTAAAATCAAAGCCACATTGTCTATTGAATGTGTTCATAGTTCCTCTTAGATCCTTAGAAATACAATTTACGAATATGGATATATTATTTGTATATAATATGGATAAATTATTTGTATTAGTAACATTTTCAAATCATACTGCTCGATATATTGCTATTTCATGTTTGCTTTGGGCTCATATTAGAAAATAGTCTGCCTTGTTCGAGTTCTGCCAGCACACCTGCGTGAGGTAGGCGGTGTCGCAGTGGTCTGCGCCGCGCTTGGTGCCACAGGCGCGCAGCGACGCCTCGTTCTTCCGGCGCATGTCCTCTGGCAGCATGGCCACCACCGCCTCCACGTCCATCTCGCCCTCGGACATCATCCCGGCCGTCTCCATGACGCACTTGATGTAGCACTTGAGCTTAGCGTCCGGAGTGAGGTCCGCCCCGCCGTTTACCTCATCCACCAGGCCCAGGTCCACTCCCGTCTCCTCCGCGCAGTTCTCCCTCAGCATCTTCGCCAGTTCCGCCATCTCGTCGTCGAAACAGAGCACGCCCGCCAGTAGCGTTGCCACTGCGACGCAGAATACTCCGCGTCCTTCCATTTGGGTTTTCCCGTGTCCAGATGCCGAATAATGCTAGAATTGGGGCCGTATAGAAATTATATACGCAGACTCAATGTCGCCACAGTCCGCTGATCACAATAGGATTAGTCGGATTGAAGATTAAATTGTAGACCACGGGTCGCTATTAAAACGTGTGTTTACACGGTTCGTGTTTGTTATTCGCGCTCCATCATTTTTTTCCTTTTATAACTGAGCAAAGTCATCGCAATAAATTAGCCATCATCAACTCCGCAACGGATGGCACGATACGTGCTCCACCTATATTGCAGGGCTCAGGGTAGTGTTTAATCGTGAAAAGAACATGTTAGTATTTTTAAAAACATCGTATTAAGTGTCAACTCATGATTATGTATTACGTTACGTAAAGGGGAAATAGGTAAGTAGTGGACATTTACATACAACGATTATAATGTAACATTCGCGTACGTAAATCACAGACGTGCATACGTCTATGGATAATTAATGAGAATGTAGTTTAAACGAGGTTTTATTTTGCCATTTTTTATTATTTGCATTAAAACTTGTTGCCAGCCAATATTCGACATCAATGTTCTCATAAGTGAGTCTTGTTCTGCCTTCGAATTTAAAATTCCAACGAAGACCTGCTGTCTAGCTGCTAAAGTCGCTACTAACAAATGAGGCTCGGTCGGTTGTATGATAATTTTTTTATGGATTTTATGTTTCATTATACGAAAATAAACGAATGTTTTTTTACCGTTATAAGTTTGAGGACCATCGCACTGGTTGCCTCCTTCAATCGACTATTTAAACGCCTTCATTTAAACAGGTTTCTATGTCTCGGTTGCACAGTTGGAAAATTATGGTTTCGGCGCCGGATATAGTGGGTTCGATTGAAAAGTATTTGTGTGATGATTGTTCCGAACATAGGTGTTTGTTCTCAAGCAGGGTTGGCGTTTGACAGGCGGCCGGTCGTAAAAATAACTAGCCATAACCGTATGATTGACTTGTTGCGCCGACTCCACCGAGGTGGGATAAGGGCATCAGGATGATTAACTTTAAACATGCTCAACCAGAACAAGCTCAAGAAGAACTTCCGGCTTTGCCTTCGATATATCCACAGAAATGGATGGCGCGACTTTACGTAGATGCGTTTTTCAGACGCGGATGCAGTCGCTTCGCTCAGCGCACAACGGCAGCATCTCCGAGACCCTACGCTACATGGTGCAGCGGGAAGGCCTGCTCAGGTGAGGAGTCCACGCCTTATTGCCATTCCTCAAAGCGCGACCCCTTTGCGAAATTACCACTCTACCGGCTCGATACGACTTAGCGAAACTGAATCAGAGAGATGATTTTTAAATTGTCATGTGGGTGATTTTCTCGTTTGCCGTTCACGGCATGAAAAATACTCCTACTCTTTAATCCTTGAAGGTATAAGAAAACTTCAGTTGGAGGAAAGTTATAATGCATGTAATATTATATATATCTGTACATCTAATTATATCTTATAAATTTATTAATTCCATTAGAGAGATTTGAAAGAGAGAAAATTTACATAATAAATGAAAAAAATCGTTGAACAGTGCAATAATGAATCGTGGATGTTAAACAGTATTATGTTACGCTTATTATTAGACTGGTTTAATTAATTCATTAAGGATCATGGTGTGCAAAAATGTAATGATTTGCGTTAAATAGTTAATTACTCCCGAGGTATTGCTAAAGCGTTGCCAACTTTTAAAAAATTGGGCTCAGATTACCTAACTCACTAGGCGAAACGCGAAAGGACAGTACTTTCACTTTACATCGCTCTTTTCTGAGGCTGCCGTGGTACTTGTCCGGACGAGCCTGCCCATTCGTGCAACAGCCGACGCTGCTATGCAGCCCTACAACAGTTACGACAATTATTCAATTAAATGAATAGTTTCTTTTAGCAAATCCAACTGATAGTACCAAAGATTAGCGCGTCCAAACAAACAAACTCTTCAGCTTTACGGAGCTGCAATTGAGAGGCGTGCAAAGTGCCTTTGAGGAAAAGCACGCGACGAGCGATGACCAACTCCGTCGGGTGCGGCACACACAACCTGATGGTTATTAACCGACGTCTATAATTTTCAACGTCGTTTTACCTTTATGTCAGCTGCAATCAACTCTGACATAAAGGATATGTCTTCATGACAGATTTGATAGGCTAATTATTTCTTACTCGATACTACCCGTAAAACTACCCGACACATACATGTATACAATGTTGGTTAACGCTTATTGACGTCTGAGTTTCTTATAAGAACTGTTAAAGGTGACTTATTTACCGTGGCCGTAATGACTTTACAACTTTCGTATCCAGAGTCCAGTTTTATTAGATTAAACTTTATTGCGTCGTGACACTTAATTTGAAACTGTGAAAGATTAGCAGTTCAAGGGCGTCGCCTCTGCCGCGCGGTACAATGCGCACAAGTGTTGCCAAGTCGTAAGCGTTGCCGCGAATGTCGTTATCGTGGCATTATCGCCTTATCGTACGTACGTGAGGCTGCGGAAGAGTCACGCCCCGATAACACTCTCCCGACTCTTTTAGGCTGCGTGTAGATTGCGAGCGGCCGTCGCGCTGCGGGTCCGAGCGTTAGGTCATGGCGTTATCTGTGGGCTGACGTCGTTTACGTTTCGCCTACTACGCGCCTGGGCCATAGATTTTATACCCGACGAACAATTCGACGCTCAGAGCTATAGCTCCACCGTTTCCGTGTTGCACTGTAACGAAAAAAAGGATGACAGCAACGTTAAGTAGTTTTAACCAGATTGCGCTGTTTTCAACTATTTCAAGAGGTTGGCAAATAATTTAAGGTCTCATGTTAAATGAGGATCACCGCTCATGGGCGCTCGCAATACCAGAGATGTAGAAGGCGTGTTGCCAATCACTGAGTGTTGGACCTCAAGTTACTTTAATGCATTGGCGAAACGGCCTTAAATAAATGCAGATAGGATGGTAATTAAGGTTCATTCTGGTAGGTCTTAAGGTCGAAAAAAGTGTTTTTTTTTTTTTTTTTTTTTTTTATGGGAATAGGAGGCTAACGAACATGTGGGTCACCTGGTGATAAGCGATCACCGCAGCCCATGGACATTTGCAACATCGGTTGAGTAGCAATAGCGTTGCCGGCCTTTAAGGAAGGAATAGGCTCTCTTCTTGAAGGTCCCTAAGTCGTATCGGTCTGGAAATACCGCTGGCGACAACTCGTTCCACAAAGTAGTTGTGCGGGGTAGAAAGTTTCGTGAAAAACGCACTGTGGTGGAGCGCCAACCATCAAGGTGGTGTCGATGGTACTTGGCGGTTTGACGAGTTGTACGATGGTGAAATTCACCAGCAGGTATCAACCCAAACAATTCCTCAGAGCACTCCCCATGATATATCCGATAGAAAATGCATAGGGATGCAACATCCCTACGCAAGGCCAAAGAATCGAGGCGATCGGACAGGATTTGGTCGTCGACGATTCGAGCAGCTCTTCGTTGAATGCGGTCAAATAGAAGGAGCTGGTATTTCGGTGCCCCAGCCCAGAGGTGAGAACAGTATTCCATGTGAGGCCGAATCTTTGCTTTATAAAGCTGCAACCGATGTGTCGGCAGGAAATACTGTCTCGCTCGGTTTAGGACACCGAGTTTTTTAGGAGCCAGCTTGGCTTTTCCTTCCAAGTGACCGCGAAATTTAACGCTGCTCGATATATCGACCCCAAGAATTCCGATCGAATCGGTGGCAACAAGGGGAGTGCCTTCAAAAAAGGGAGATACGACGTAGGGTTTTCTCTTCGCGGTAAACGCGCAAACCTGTGTCTTCATGGGGTTAAATTGGACTAAATTAAGTCTGCCCCAATCCGAGATTTTGCATAACATAATCTATGATTTCTATGCTTTTTAATATTTTCTTTGACTGATTTCGAAAAAGGACCTAGAAATTATTTTGGCATTGGGTTCGGTTCTGTTCCCATGTGTTCCCATAGTAATTTCATTAGTATCGGACCTTGGGCTCCATAGATACGTCAGAGATATCATCAAAATCAAAGAGAAAGCATATGATGAGCAATATCTCCAATATTTGAAGTCGATTTTGTTTTTTGCTACTAAACATGTTTTTCCTGGCAAATGAAGCAGTGAGAGGTTTCAATTTACGAGAACAATGATAAAAATTAGACGAAAAAAGTGGTCGATTATGCGAGGTGCGGGGTCTCACGAGGTCAGGCGGCGATGGTCCCTATCTGGCCAGATGCCCGGATGCCCGCCTATTTAACGATGAACTGTAGATTAATTTGGTGTTACACGCGCGCTTCTAATACGATATACTCTAGCAACCTGCGAACAATTCCTAGTGCCGGCACCAATGAAATTGTTGAATGCAATTTTGAGTGCAGACTTATCACTTGCACAGCGGTGAAGGATAACATCGATGGAAGTCTGAATTTGTTAATGCATCGATGTGTGATTTCCGTCAATCCGTAGTGGGGTCGTGGTGAACTATGCCTAATACCCTCTTTACAGAGGAGGCTTTTGCCCAGTAGTGGGACATTTTTGCGTTGTTACTTTGCACGTGCCTCGTGTATCAGCGGCTTGAGAGCTCACGTGATGTCTAAGATTCGGTATCAATGCTATCGGCGGATGGTTATTAAAAATATAATAAATAAAAAAATCGATAATGAGTTTATTAACTTGTTTATTAACTAACGCAGTTAAACTATTTATTGTAGGTAATTATAGTGATAAAAAGTTTGACTCGGATCTAGACAAGTGGGCCCGGATTTTAATGCTGTCTTTTACGTAAAGTAAATTGATGCGTCCCCCCTAAGAACAGCTTTGTGCGCGTTGCAGTATCGTTCTGTTCAAAATGACTATGTAGAACATATGACACGTTATTAGAATTAATATAACAAGTATTGTAATAATTTTACATTTAATCAATTATTAAAAAAAGGCATTTGTATAAAATAAAAATGCTGCAATAAATAAGCAATGGACTGTATACTTTAAAATTTAATTTTTACAACACGCCGATTGTACTAATGGTTGAAGAAGAAGGAAGAAATGTTGCCAACATAGTAAAAAGGCTTACAGAAAATGATACCACTTAATAAATAAATCTTATGTTTAAAAATATTTTTAACAGCATTCATAAAAAATAAACAATGTATTGATTACTTCTATTTCGATAAAACACTAGATTTTCCTTCAGTTGTCGACAGCAAATAATGGGAGTTGATTCCTCTAAAATTCCGCTAGATATAAAGTATAGGAGGGAGAGAGTAGCTTTGTAGTGATGAGCTAGGCTTTGCTCTAAATGTCTGGATAATTGGAAATTTATACTAGAAATGACGGGCCCTTTAGCCTGACCCGGGCGAGACTAGTTGGTCTTGACCGCGAATCGTCTTCGCTGAAATTGGTCCAAATTCGTATCGGTGCTCAATCTTATCTTAGCCAACGTTGCGTGCGCGTTGTTACCATCCAAGTCAACTCTGGATTGTCGGCAGCCTTGCATAAGTGTTTGATAGCGTCATTGCCAAAACGCCTTTGCCGAACTAGAAGGAGAGGATGAACGTGAGGTGTGCCCCAAGGTTCCTATATGGTCGAAAGTGGCACCGGAGCGCGGCATTTACAATAAGTACATCATCACATGATGCGTGGTTATGAAGAAGCGAACTTAATAAACGTTATTTTTAGTCATATAACGATCATTTGTGGTTTTGTATTAAAGATAATGTAAGCATTTTAAAGTTAAAGCAAAAGCATGGTTTACACTAGCTTGTTTAAGGCCGTACGATGAGATGCGCGTGCACGTGCTTCGCTAGGGCGCGTTGTAAATGGCTAGGGGTCGAAAGGAGCAGGGAATGCGGAAAAACGTACGGACGTGGATAGTGGCCCATTCGTAAGCCTTCACTTTCTCGCAAATAATTCTGAATTAAGGTTTCACACCGAAAATTATAAACAAAGTATTAATTTGTCGCGTACTTTTTTTTTTCAATTTTTTTTACTATTAATATAATTTAGTGATGCATTTTTCATTGGGATTGTACTAAGGTTTCGTTGCTCCGTCGCCTAATTGACCGACTTTACTCATTTGACGGTACGATTTATCTTTATTATTATGATAAGATATGTTTTCAGTTTTATCAATAAAATGGTATTTTATTCTTATATCCTTATGCTCGTGTATGCTGTAATTTCACGGAATGGGGTAATTGGGCTAATTTGATTTGTTTCATTGTAT